CGTGTTAGGGAAGATGGGAAAAGGTGGGTTTGTTCAGCCTGGAGAAAAGGCGGCTCAGGGAGATCTTGTCATTGTGTTCCAGTATTTAAAGGGTGGCTGCAGAGATGGAGACTCACTTCCTACACACATGGAAAAGGCAGAGGGTGATGGGCAGAAGTTACTCCTGGGGAGATTCCGACTGGACACGGGCAGAGAAGTTTTCATACAGAATAATCAGCCGTTGGAATAATGACAGAACAGTTTGGGATCACCCCAGGGAAGTGGTGGATTTCCCAGTGTCGGGTGCTAAGACAACTAGCCGAGGTCATGCTTACCTAGCAAGGTTGGGACAGATGACCCTTGAGGTCTCTTCCAGCTGGGATTCTGGGATTCCATGATCCTGCCCCCAGAAAGGCAGAAGCAGGCTCCTCACTGTGAATTGATGTAGCTCTGTAGCATCTGTGTTCCAGCAAATTGGGATGGGTCAGCATGATTCCAGACCACTTTTATCTGGAGCACAAGAGCTGCTTAAAGAAAGGATTCATTATTTTCACGTTATTAGGTCGTCTTGAACTGAAAGTGAGGGGTTTATTTTGCTTTCCTTTTCCCTGTTAAACCCATCAGCCATCATCTTCGAGAAGAAAAGCAAAGTCCTCTTTGAAGTCTCACATCAATGTCACACATTGAGAGCCTGCCCAAGGGCAGCTGCAGGCACAGAGCCTGTAGCTTCCACAGCTCCTTCTTCTACACATTGCAAGTCACCTTACAGAACAAAACACCCCCCAAAATCCAAAAGACCCTTTTTGAAACAGCCAAACCTCCCCAAAGGAAGGATTCTATGGCACTGTGAGGAGCCCCCCAAAATTCACACCCATTTCTCCCTCCAGCAAAAGCCAACCTTCTCCTCCTTGCAGTTCTCAACGTGTGTTCATTATAGTACACCAGAAGGGGACTCACAGCACAATTCTCCACGGGCTCTCTCTCCAGGTCAGACAGATTGCAGTTAACTGTGTTGAGGATAAAGCACTCACTGAACATTCAGTGCTCATTTTGAATGAGCAAAATCCAGCAGTTCACATGCAGGGAACTAAGGAAGGCCTAAGTCAGAATTCCTGATAAGAGAAAACACTTTTTAAGGCTTCTCTGTGTATCACCCAAAAGCAAAACCAGGCAAACAAGTGGAAAAACCCCTCTCTATACGTCCCTTTAACAGTAAACCTCTATTTCTCTTGCAGCTAAGCTACTGTGGTGTCATTAACACACAAAACTCTCCCTTTAAACCATAACTGTGACAGACCCAACTGATGTGGAGTCATTTTAAGGTGCATTTATGACTACCTGGAAGACAAAACCAGTGTTAACAGCTCCTCTTTCTCAAACACAAGCCTTTGCCTACATTGCTTTTCGTGGTTTCACACACCAGTTGAAGAGATTCTCTGCTCCCATTCTGCCCTTCACACCAGTCACTCTGTGCTTCACCAGGCTCAAGTTCTGAGTATTCACATGGAAACACAGAGGTTATCAGCAACATCCACAGGAGAGCACAACCTGTGGCTGAGCTCAAACACATGCAAGGGTTCAGGACGACACAGAAACCTGTTTTCATAGGTCAGGTGCACGATTTGTATCTACCATCTCCTCTCAGGAAAAGGGAAGGTCATAATGGATTCAGAGCAGTCACACAACAAAGGTTTACTGGCAAAAAAGACACTGGTTAAATAAATTTTATCAGGATGTTGAGAAATGGGTATGATTCTATTTGAAAGCTTTGGAAGGGGTATTGATGAAAGCACACGTTAAAATGAATTCTTACAGTGATCAGACATTGCAGTCATTTACTCTCAACAGGACTTTTATGAGACATATTTATATAGTCAGTAATTAAATAGAAACCCCAGGATGAGTGTCACAAAACAAGGAAATAATAAGGCTTGAGGCCCAGTCAGTCCCCAGTTACCTTCTAGTCACTGTACCTTTCATTTTACCTTTTGTTTCCCATGCTGCTATTCTTAAACATAATAAAGCAGTAAGAAAAGTTAATTGCAGATTCCTTGCTTTTGGGAAGCCTCAAACTTACTTCAACTTAGTACAAAGAACAGGGAGGGAAAAGATAAAACGTGTCTGTTAAAAAGCAGGAAGGGGAAGAGAGATTCAGACACATTCTGGACTGAGAACGTAGGAAATAGGGACAACACAAAGAGATTTTCAGCCTATCCAAATGTAGCAGTCAATGGTTTTGCCACCCGTTGTGTTTACCAGACTGTGATGTGCTGCACCACTCCTTACTTCCAACCAAATCCAAATATATGCCACAGGCAACAAGAAATAACATAACTACAGTTGCACTCTGACCAAACCTTTTCCCTACCTACAGAGGGGATGCAGGTAAAAAAGCTGAATGTAACAAGTCAACCATGTCCACATCCACATGAACTATACAGGAAGAACATCCAAAAATATTGACATGAGACAGTGATCCTCGAGTTTTCCTTTTCTCTTTCAGTTATATATATATATATATATAGTTAAACAGCACGTAGGAAAACACTACTATAGCTTTCACTGTAGCCAACAGGAAAATCCTCACGAGTAGAAAAATGGATGCTTTTCAGGTGTTAGATTTCTTCAAAACGTAACACAGAGGAAATGAAAGCAATGGAATTTCTCATTGTCTAACAGCAACAACAAAAACTTAAACCCTTGGCAATTTACACAGTTCTCAAACCTCCAACTTCGCACTCTTGAACACCTCTCAATCCCTACTACAGCAGAACACAGTATCGCCAAAAGAAAGGAGCCAGGATTCCTCGAGAGCTGGGATGCTACTTGGATACTATGTGAAATTCCACTGTACCAAAACGTTTAACCTCCAATTTACATCCAGTATTTTGGAGGAAGGGAACATGATTGTCCCTTTCCAGCTTATCCCCGCTGGCTGCCCACCTAGGAAGCACTACTGTTATTACTTCAAGAGGAAAGGAAAGGTGCTGGTAAGAGCCAGAAGGGCAAGGCAATGATGTTGATTATGAAATGCCCTGTTCTTTGGAAGGACTGTGTAAAATAGGTTGTTAAAAGCCTCCATGTTAAAAATATTACGAACAAAAAAGGTCTTCTTAAAAATACAGAGCATCTCTGCCTCTTAAGTTCAAGGGTTTTGCTAGAATTAACTACAGGTTTGCTGTAACAAACATATATGACAATGCCCTACGTAACACAGGGCCAACCACAGCGTCCAGACAAACGTGATTGCTTTAGGTTTCAAGTGGCGTTTGCATCTCTGGTTTGTATAAAAGGAGCAGAGACACTTCTGGAACCTTCACTGCAGAGTCTTTGCCAGTGTCCAGGTTTTGGGCAAAGGAAATCTTGCCAGGCTGCAGAGTCCTAATGTTGAGGATCGGAACGTGAACCCCATCATGACTCCGAGTCTGATCCCGAGCTGCTTTCTCGGCTGATTTCGATTTGTAGAGATGGTAAATTATCCAACCGGCTCTTCTTTTGCCGAGACTGTTCCTTTTCCTTTATGAGAGCACCCCAAACCCGCTGCAGCTCCGAGTCATCCTCCTCTGGAGCTGCCACAGTGTTTTCAGCTTTATCTGAAGTCTTTTCTTGTGCCTTCGGAGCAGACCCTAATCGGGTCCATAAATTACCTGATGGGGTGAAAAACAAACATCTTTTAAGAGAGGACTAAGAGGAATGCTGGAGAAGTCTGAGGAACCCAGTCTTGAACGCATTTAAACTCCTCACCCTCCTCCCACCTTCATGTTTCGCATGGAACTTACCATGCTTTGAAGCACTGTATGAAATTACATCGTGGAATGTTCAGTGCAGTCTTGTTCACTGTTTCCTTTTTGCAGAGAATGCAGGTCTGAAGTGCCACTGCATTCATTACACTGGGTTTAGTGCCCTGTTTTGACCACAGTTTGAAAGTAGTCTTCTACTTTTAAGCATCCCTATATAAAACTATTGCTCTTTAAAACACTCAGCTCAACCTACCTACATCTATTTAGATTTCAAAGCTCTGAACAAACATTTGCTGATCCAGTGAAATTAAAAGAACATCCTTCATCATTTGCTGCTGACATTTCTCTTATACTCTAAACCCAAAGGAATTGCAGGATTATATTTTCTCCATAAAACTAACCTGATTTCTTCTCTCTGGAATCAGAGTAGAGGCCTTTAACATCTTGTTTGGGGATTCCTAACCGGCTGTGGACATCCGATATCGGTTCTCGACGAGGAGCAGAGGTACTACTTGGAGGTTTAGTTTCTGGAGAACGTGGTCTTTTCCCCAGTCTTCGCCGCACATCTGCGGATATTTTCAAGTGATTAAAAAGACAAAACCCATGTTGCATTCCCTCCAGCTCTACCAGCCAGTTTTCTGCTCACTCACAGTGTGTACAACATGAAACTAGACAGATTCTCTGGTCTTTTTGGTACTCTTTTAAGTCTTTCATACTCAGATTTCAGTCCTGGCAATGGCTGCAATACAGCGTATCCGAATTGAATCTTCCTTTTTTATGCGCAATAAATTTGACATTTAACGTTTTCAGGTTGTGCTCTATCCAAAAGATTGAAGGAATTACTCAATGGCTTGCTCCATTTCCGTTTTAGGAGCACAGCGTGTATGTATCCAACATAAGATTATATGAAAATTGATATGCCTTCAATGATTCCTTTCAGATAAGGGATACCTTGCTTTGGAATTCTAATACTGCTTGATATTTTGCAGAGGAAAATGAAAACCAGAATACAAGAATCCTAAATATACTGATGCGTAACCCATGATGTGAATCTTGCCTTCTGAAGTTTGTTTTAGCTGGCTATTTCTTGTCTTAAAGGAGGTTCAAACAAAAAGATGAAGGCAAAAGGAGTTACAAGACTTACGTGCCAACACAAAATTAACTGTATGAATGCAGAAACGGCTGCTGAGAACTCCTTCAGGTTAGTTAGGTGCAGTGAAGCACAGATATAAAAGGAATATATCCCTTTTAATGAGCCAGTCAAGTTCTACACACTGTGCGTTCATAAGTACCTGATTTTACAGTGCTGTTTGGCTGACGTGGCCCAGTGTTGTTCTGACGTTTTTCTTCTAACAGTAGTCTCACATCTGCCACCTTCTCTGATGATCCTTTACTGCCAATCCGGTTTCTGATGTTACTGGTTGCTATGCTATCTGCTCGCATGGAATTCCTGAAGAATAGATTTAACACCCTTAAATGAAGTTCTGAAGTCTCCTGAATGTAACATTACATCAGAGAAAACAGGAATATCAGGATCTCTAAACTGAGGAACAGTGGTATAAAATTACTTAGAGCTCACGTTCCAGCCAGCACCCCAAGTTTAGCTATAACCACATGAATTCCTCAGTATCCATTTCAAAGCAAGTATCGAGTTTGTCTCCTTAAGGCTGTGCCTCTGCACCAAAATTCAGAGCAGACAGCAGCCTCAAAACTGTTAAACGACTCAACATTATAACGAAGTCTAATGAGACTACTGAAGGGACACATTAAAGTGATCTTAATAATCTACAACATAAGTGATTTTGGTTAATATGCCCATAATGAACATAGATTCCTTTTTGTCATCAACACTGGGAGGGTTATTCTTCTTTCTGAGAGGAAGGGGTAAAGGGGAATGAGAAAGAGGAGTTATTTCTCCCTGACCTAGCTATGAAATGCAGAATTGTGCTGCTTGCACTAATTTCTACTGAGTCCACTTTGAGCTTCACTATTATCAGTCAGCAGGGTTACAGAAATCTGCAAAGGAAGCTGTATTTCAAAAGTGTTAATTGTAATTAAAAGTATGTATCACTGTTTTCTGTATTTTGAATTTAACAGCTACCAGAAAACTGTGTGAAGAAGTGAAAAAGCAGCTTGACAGTTTGTCTTCAAGCTGCCACAGCTCTGTCGCTAACTCGGAATGCCTTTTCACTGATCCTTTTAAAGAAGAAGAAACTTTTACCTAATGTTTTTCAGCTGTGACTCCACCTCGTCCGCATACATTGTCATTTTCATGCTCTTTTTGGGAGAGGGTGTTGATATCATTTTCAGTTCCAGATCATAGTCCATTTCATCAGAGTCAGATGTGCTAGCACTCGACCTTCGGGCTGCACTGCGCTCTCGGGACTGCTTGAAAGCTTGCAGCTCGTCACGGTACTCTACCACAACTCTGTCATCTTCATCCATATCCTGATCTTCTTCCTCTTCTTCTTCCTCCTCAATGGGCTCTTCAGGAACATTTACTAAGCCTGTAGCGAAGCAAATTGCTTCTGATAAACTGAATTTTATCATTCATATAAAGTACTTTAAAACGAATGTGGGGGAATCACTGCCATTAATGATCCACTACAAATAAGTCTTTGTGGTTCTCTAAGGCTAAAGAGAGAATAGAGTGCAATATAGAGTGGCATCTATATTACAGAACAGCCTAAGAGGAAGAAAATCACCACAGGAAAAGGTGTTCACTATCTCAGAAGCCTGCCCAAGCACAAAGCTGGACTTCACATCCATGCACTGCAGGGATCGGATGTGGGACTGATGAAGGCTATTCCCAGCTCTCCATTCCCCAGCTGTGTTCTTACAGGACTGACATACTGGTACCCACTACCTGAGTGACGATGTTTGTAAGGAGGAGTCAAGCCAACATCATCCCCAATAAGTGTCCTTTTCTTTATCACATCCCGATGGATTCGGCGCGAATGGTATCTTCGTTTCCTGAAACACCACAAAAAGAATGACATTCCTGTCACAGGAAAGGCATAATGAATGAGCCATGTTCAGTCCTGCATTAAGCACACACAGTTATCACTCACTTTAATAGCAGACAGACATTTACAGCAGAAATCTGTCTGGTTTGAATACAGACATTCTTTATATTCATGAGAAAATGCTCCCCTTGCACAGTCACGTTGCAAAAACATTATTTACACCTAAGAAGCATCTACATAAACCAAACAGAAAGAAAATCCACAAAGTAAAACCATTTTGGACTTTCTCACCCTCCAATACTCCAATTCTTCTATCCAGTACTCACCAAGAATTGCTAAGAATCCCCTTCATGCCTCCATAGTTGGGATTGCCATATTTCATGTAATACTGGCTTCGCCTTGCAGCTCCCAGCTCCTTCTTATCATCTGGAAAAAACAGAAATTAAAGGAATATTTCCCTCTTAGAACATATCTTACAACACCAGCACAAAAATAAATAACCCTCCAGTCAAAGACACCGAGGGAAAACAAGACTGTGTTATAGATCAGCACTGCTTCAGTCTCCTTCATGAAGGACACAGTTTTGCTGACACCTCTGGAATTTCTCCTACCAGCAGAGTTTTGTGTCTAGAAACTCAATTCTAGGAAGGCTGAGTTTCCACATATCATTCCACAGAGCATTCCATCCCCCTGTAACTGCTGAAGGCGATACTTACCTTCTTCATGACCTTTCTTCTCCTTACGGATGTGTCACTTCCCTCATGGTCCAGGAACTATATGGATGTTTATTTTACTCATAAATATCATTTAATCTCTCAACTGTATTTAGCAAGAATTTCCACTAGTATCTCATCAGCATCTCAAATTAATTTCTTATTTATAAAACATGATGTTTACTCCTGTGGAGAAGGGCATCATAAAACCTATTCTATGGTACTGGGAAGAATGCCCTGAGCCCAAGGTGTATGTACCATGGTTTTCATACAACTTGGACTGGATTTAATTTACACATTAAATGTGGATTTACTGCAAAATCTTAAGACCTAACGATTAGCAAAGAAACTAACACTTGTGCAAATAAAAATCAGGTACTTTGAGTCAGTGATTAGTCAACAAGTAAAACTACAACAAGCAAGAATTCATTGTGCTTGTTAAGCTGGTCATTTACCTTTAGTAGCAAATCTCATGAATAGCTTGTTTCCTTTAGCCAGTTTATTGGCAGGGCGAAGATCATTACGCAGGAGAGAATCCTCTTCTACCTGGGAGAGGGCATCCAACTTTGGGGGGCAAAAGAGGTATTTTGGACTCAAAAATAAGATTACTGTTGAATGAAAATGGGTTGCTCACAGAGCAGCAACCAACTGAGTATTAAGAAAGTTACTTTTCAAGCTACGTTCAAATAATTTGCTTTTTTTCCTTGACAAACTGATGTGAATTTGTAAGTAATTTGCCCTGAAGATTAAAATATTTCCTTCTCTTACTAACTAACATTATCTCAGATTATTAAATCCAGTCTTTTTCAAATGGCACCACCCTGACAGCTGAAATGCAGACAATAAATAGCACAACTTGGACACTGAGATCTTTTTGCTCGTTTCACATCTAAATGGCTTCACTAACAGGTTCTCATGCCCTCATGCAATGACTAAAAGGTTTTCTTTTCCATTTATATCTGCTTTATAGAACCTGAAATTCAGACTTCCATGATGTACGAGTGTTCACTGAGCCATTCCTAAAGAAAAGACTAATCACACCTATTCTATATTCAGCCAGTAAAGATTAAATCACTTACAAAGCAGCAATGCCCATGCTGATACACACAAATATCTATGGTCAGTTTAAACCCTGTTTCTCTCTTTAAGCACTGCCTTTGCCTGCCATTGTTGTTCTTTCATTGCCTCCTCTCAGCAGAAAAGAGCAGCCAGTCTGGCTCTTACATGCTGGATGCCCCATCACTCTTCACAAAACACTCTTACAGAGCTATTCCCACCACCACCATACCTGCACTTCCTGTCATTTCCCCATCTGATTTACCTTGATCATTAAATTGTGAACTGCAAATATATATGGTACGAAGTGTAATGTTATGAAGGCTTCACACCAGCCAGAGGCAAACTTCCTTAATGGTGTTTTCACCTTCCTTTTGTACTGACCTCAACATCACTGGGATTGTCATCCTCAACCTCGCCTTCTTCTGTCTCATCCTCAGAACTTTCTTCCTGTTTTTCTAAGAAGGAAAATAATTGGGGGGGGGGAATAAATTCCATTTAGCATGGCAGTCATCTTTGGTTATTATTACCTACAGTCTCTGAAATCAAAGGGAAGGTGTTATCCTTTCTTCTGTGCAGCCTAGAGATAGTCAAAACAGGAAATGTCTACAGAGATGAGAAGCCCACATGAGCATGGAATACAATGAACCAGGCAGCCCCTGTGAAGGTAACTGCCTGCAGCACACTTGGATTAATTTAGTTCTCTGAAAGCAAATGAAATGACACTGCATTTCAGCAAGGCCAAGACTGTAAAGGGCAAATAAAAGCTTCTTTCCTTTAGTTTCCCTTTAAAACGCTGTGAGTACCTGCAAGTATCCAATACTAACAAAGTAACCCAGGTGATTATTCAACAGCTTAGAAGAATGTGAGAGAGAAGGAGGAAAAACCCCAAACCACCACCTTAGTGACTTCATTTCAAAGTGAAATAACTGACATAAGAGTGCACGCTTCCAGAACTGCTCTAACTGTGAGATGATCGCACAGACTTTTCAGGGTTCTTCTTAGCTCACAGGAAAAAAATCATATTGGATTCCACCACCAGCAAGGGATGCACAAGGAATGCATCTAAGCCAGTTACTCCCGTGTATCTGGATGCATTTCACACCTTAAGCTGTAGCTGAACAGTTTGTACTTTATCTAATATCCCACTTTTCCAGCTGAACAGGATTAATTTAGATGACAGTTTTTGTTTTGAGATGTGGTGTAATGATAACACAATGTGTAACTTGTAGCCAAGAATATTAAATACATGTATTTATGCTGCATTTAAACAAGACAGTCACTTATCTCCAATGACTTTATAACAAAGTCTTACTTGAAGCACTATCAACATTTGCCCCAGAATTAAAGCCACATGGAGGGTGGAGGAGCAACTGCATTTTAGAGAAAAGCAACAAAAGGGGATGAATCCACAAGTTTAACAAAGCCCTAAATCCCCAACTTTGTCAAGAGGCCTTTGGTAACACTGCAAATATCTAATAGAGAGATTAGCTACCTGCATTTTGTTCACAGAGCATGTTTAAGGACAGTCTGTGGAAGAGTTAATAAATACAGTATCTCTCTTTTTGGACTGCATGATACAGTGCTTGGAACCACAGCAATTTATCACACCAGCCTAACAGCAAACAGTCCTAAGGTAGGAAAAGCCTCATTCTTCATTTACACCCATAAAAGTGAAATCAATTTACAATTCAGGCATTCAGGTACCAGATTTAGCACAATATTAAGATGTATTTTTACTGCTTTGCTCTTGCATAACTGACCTTTCAGGGTGCTGCTTTCTTGAAAGCATAAAGGCCAGATTTAGAGATGATATACACAGTGGTGAAGTGATAACCTGTCACATCAGTGCAAACAATAAACTTAAAGGATGGTGGTGGATCAAGAAAGGAATCATCTGTGGTATTTCAAAAACAGGACGTTTTCTTACACCTGCTTTTTCCCCACTTGGTATTCATCCTTTTACTGCCACAGCCTTCTTTCTGTGCCACAGGTACCACCACAAATATCATATCTGAATCTAACCCTCTAATCTAACATGTTCAGTATTGACTGAATTACTGCTTTTGGTCTAGCTCCAACCCACCTTTTAAGAAGCAGCTTCTTCAAAAGGTTTCCAAGATGAAAGCCTTTTTTTAAGTGGCAGAATACATTTACCTGAAACTATATGATAGAAGCTCCTTCAGTAATTCAGCTTATGCAGTACTCAAGCCCAAGTTTAAAGTTTCACTGCTTTAACTAGGTGATGTCTATATATGCATGCCTCAATCTACCTTTCTTGGCTTTTTCAGCTGTCTTCTCTTCATTGTTTTCTCTGCTTTTTGTTTTCTCCTGATCAGGTAAGGAACTCATGTTAATCAGAGCCCGTGTTGCTGTTACTTCATCGAGCCAGACCACATTACCTGTGACATATAAAAGCACACACAAAACCATAATGCAGTTTGTATAGTCACATACACAGCTTTACTGGAGGGAAACTGCTGGCAGAAACACCTTCATGTGGTGACATGGTAAAAGAAGG